TGTTAATTATTGAACTTGTATTTTTCTGTTGTATACATAAATTTAGCCCCTCTCTGAATTTCTCACTATTCTTCTTATGGTTATATAATAATTACATTTAATTACTAAACAAGCATCGCATCTAACAATTCTATAATTTATCAGGTGCAGTTGATCTGGGAAAGCACAAAGCCTGACATTTTTAGATTCTATCTTTAACTTTTCCAGGGTTCCACTATCATGAGGACACCGGCTCTAGGACAGTTCAGCAGGAATTTCCTCATGGAGTGTCAGCGTTCAAAAACACAAAATCACAGGGATTACATTTGGGGCTTTTTATTAAAAAAATACCTCTGGGAATTGGGGTAAATTCAACCCAAATCTGATTCCGACCATACATCCCAAATGATCATGTTTTATACTCTGTCATTACATAATTTCATGTTAATTATTAAACGTATATTGTTTTATTGTGTACATAAATTTAGCCCCTCTCTGAATTTCTCACTATTCTTCTTATGGTTATATAATAATTGCATTTAATTACTAAACAATCATCACATCTAACAATTCTATAATTGATCAGGTGCAGTTCATCTGGGAAAGCACAAAGCTTTCCCAGACATTTTTAGATTCTATCTTTCACTTTTTTCAGGGTTCCACTATCATGAGGACACCGGCTCCAGAACAATTCAGCAGGAATTTCCTCATGGAGTGTTGGTGTTCAAAAACACAAAATCACGGGATTACATGTGGGGCTTTTTATTAAAAAAATACCTCTGGGAATTGGGGTAAATTCAACGCAAATCTGACTCTGACCATACATCCAAAATGATCATGTTTTATAATCTATCATTACATAATTTCATGTTAATTATTAAACTTCTATTGTTTTATTGTGTACATAAATTTAGCCCCTCTCTGAATTTCCAACATGGTTTCTCACTGTTCTTATGGCTATATAATAATTACATTTAATTACTAAACAATCATCACATCTAACAATTCTATAATTTATCAGGTGCAGTTGATCTGGGACAGCACAAAGCTTTCCCAGACATTTTTAGATTCTATCTTTAACTTTTTCCAGGGTTCCACTATCATGAGGACACCTGCTCCAGAACAGTTCAGGAGGAATTTCCTCATGGAGTGTCAGCGTTCAAAAACACAAAATCACAGGGATTAAATGCAGTGTTTTTAATTAAAAAAATACCTCTGGGAATTGGGGTAAATTCAACCCAAATCTGACTCCGACCATACATCCCAAATGATCATGGTTTATAATCTATCGTTACATAATTTCATGTTAATTATTGAACTTGTATTTTTCTGTTGTATACATAAATTCAGCCCCTCACTGAATTTCTCACTATTCTTCTTATGGTTATATAATAATTACATTTAATTACTAAACAATCATCGCATCTAACAATTCTATAATTTATCAGGTGCAGTTGATCTGGGAAAGCACAAAGCTTTCCCTGACATTTTTAGATTCTACCTTGAACTTTTTCCAGGGTTCCACTATCATGAGGACACCGGCTCCAGAACAATTCAGCAGGAATTTCCTCATGGAGTGTCAGCGTTCAAAAACACAAAATCACAGGAATTCTATGCATTGTTTTTATTAAGAGCTCTGGGAATCGGGGTAAATTCAACCCAAATCTGACTCTGACCATACATCCCAAATGATCATGGTTTATAATCTATTATTACATAATTTCATGTTAATTATTGAACTTGTATTTTTCTGTTGTATACATAAATTTAGCCCCTCTCTGAATTTCTCACTATTCTTCTTATGGTTATATAATAATTACNAACACTGATTTTGGGCTCATTAATGCCAATTTTGGACTCTCATTACCCTCATTAACACTGTTTTTGGGCTCATTAATGCTGATTTTGGGCTCTCATTAACACTGATTTTGGGCTCATTAATGCCAATTTTGGGTTCTCAGTGCCCTCGTTAATGCCAATTTTGGGCTGTCTCATTAATGCCAATTTTGGACTCTCATTAATGCTGATTTTGGGTTCTCTCATTAACCTCTCACTGCCCACATTAATGCTGATTTTTGGCACTCAGTGCCTTCATTAATGCCAATTTTGGGCTTCCTCATTAATGCCAGTTTTGGGCTCTCATTGCCGTCATTAACATTGGTTTTGGGCTCATTAATGCCAATTTTGGGCTCTCAGTGCCCTCATTAACGCTGTTTTTGGGCTCATTAATGCCAATTTTGGGCTCTCAGTGCCCTCATTAATGCTGATTTTGGGCTCTCATTAACACTGATTTTGAGCTCATTAATGCCAATTTTGGACTCTCATTACCCTCATTAACACTGTTTTTGGGCTCATTAATGCCAATTTTGGGCTCTCTCATTAATGCCAATTTTGGGCTCCCTCATTAATGCCAGTTTTGGGCTCTCATTGCCCTCATTAATGCTGATTTTGGACTTTCATTAACACTGTTTTTGGGCTTTCATTAACGCTGTTTTTGGGCTCTCATTAACACTGATTTTGGGCTCATTAATGCCAGTTTTGGGCTCTCATTAACACTGTTTTTGGGCTCATTAATGCTGATTTTGAGCTCTCATTAACACTGATTTTGGGCTCATTAATGCCAATTTTGGACTCTCATCACCCTCATTAACACTGATTTTGGGCTCATTAATGCCAATTTTGGGCTCTCATTGCCCGACACTGATTTTGGGATCTCTCATTAATGCCAATTTTGGGCTCTCATTACCACCCCTTTAAACCAGAAGCACCTTGCTGGTGCCACCCATCAGTTCCCCCATGGCCATTCATTTCTTTGTTAAACTCACTCATTCCTTTGGGATTTTCCTCTGCCCTTTCCCTGCTCTGATTGCAGGGCCGGTTCCTGGCCACCTACGGGTACAGCGGGCACAGCTACGGGCTGGCACGGGGCACGCTGGAATCCATCGCCAGGGAGGGGCTGGCAACCTGTGTGCACATGGAGATCGAGGTGAGAGCTCCTGGCGCTCAAAAAAACACAAAATCACAGGGATTGTATGCGTTGTTTTTATTAAGAGCTCTGGGAATTGGGGTAAATTCAACCCAAATCTGACTCCAACCATACATCCGAAATGATCATGGTTTATACTCTATCGTTACATAATTTCATGTTAATTATTAAACTTCTATTGTTCTGTTGTATACGTAAATTTAGCTCCTCTCTGAATTTCCAACATAGTTTCTCACTATTCTTCTTATGGTTTGTCCGGTTATCTCGGCTGTTTGAGGGGCCTGAAAGGCCCGAGGTGGCCTTGGGGCAGCCCGCGTATCGAAGGACGAGAAGAGGCTTCAGTTCTTCTTTCGGTTTTTATGTTTATTAATTGTTTATCTAAAAGATTTTCTTTCAGCCGAACAGAGCTCTGCTCAGCAGCCAGCCATGGGCACACTGTGCCGTCCC